AAAGTGGGCCATTAATAAATACATCATCTCTCTTCTCTACCAATCATATTTATTCTTCATCTATTATGAAGACACTATTATCTCCCAATGCAAAACTTGATAGTGTCTAGTGCATTCTCGTGTTGAAGCTGTGTCTTGCATGAGACCCAGTTTCTTCCTCTCTTTACTCTCTTTCTTAATTAATATAGTTCCACATAAGATAAAAGTCATACATGGCAATGTAGTTAATGCCATAGACATCATCTTAGGTGGAGGGTTGGGACTGCATTAGAGAAATATCACCCGAAGACAGAAAAAAACAGTTGTAGACAAATCTTCGTTATTGCTAAAAACCCTGCTAGCTGGGATTAATTGCGTACAGGGAGTACGTGCAGGGCCAGCTCGATAATAACAACGACTTGATGATCACAGGTCAATGGAGTTAGTAGCTTGCATATAGGAGTAGTAGTAGACAAAAGCGTGGGTATCAGGGAATAGCAATATTGACCGGGGAATTGGACAGTGCCAATTTCTGTCGCCCAATAAACGAGCTCTCACCGAAACTACTCTGTACATCCCATAAAAAAAGGGAAGAAGAACGAATTACCCCTCGAACTATCGCGGTCGACCGAATTACCCCCTGAACTACAAAACCAGACATCATTCACCCTCCAACTTTGCAAATTGGAGAAATAACCCCCTAGCTCAATCTGCGGTGGTTTTCATCCTATGTGACAGTCCAGTCAGCAATTCATTCATTAAAAATGTAGGTGGACCTCACCTGTCAGTCTCTCTCTCTCTCTTATCTCTCTCCCAATCTCTCACTCTCTCTCTCTCTTCTCCATCATAGGCGACGGTGCACGCAGCAGTGAGGCGAGGCAAGCGCGGCGGCGGCAACGAGGCGAGCGTGGCGGCGGAGGAGGCGAGGCGACAACGGAGGCGAGGCAGGGCGGCGCCACCTCCCTCAGCTGGTGGCAGCACTGTGCCCTCACCCCCAGTGGGTCGCCGCCAGCGCACCGCCGCATCAGGTATGCGCGGCACCCCGACAGTGGATCCTTCGGCACCACGCCCTGCCCCGGCTCGCACCCAGCCGCCGCGCGCGTGCGGCCGTAGCTGTAGTAGTCCTCGCATCCCGCCGCCGCCATGACGATGGCGCCGACCACCACACCACCAACGTCTCAAGGCCGCACTCTTCGCGGGCGGAAGCCCCTCAGTGATGGCGGCCATGGCCCCTGTCACGCCCAGAAATTCACGAACCAGAATTTCTAAGCTGAATGTGCATTAAACCCCTGTCCAGGACCAGCCAGGGTACACAAACGACAATTGTTGACATACAGATCCACGTCTTATAAAAATATAAAAGATTACAAATGCAGCGGAAAAAGATAAAAGCGAGCTAAGCCTGAAGACTTGACTCCTGCAGCGGGCGACTCCATTCCACAGGCATCCTTGACGGCAACGACGAAACCAACCTCTTCGAGACATCTTCAACTGAGAAGGACTTCAACTCTGGTGTGGGGCAAAAGAGAGCAAGACTGAGTACTACCCACTGTACTCAGCAAGTCATACCGGAAGAGGAGGTATGATGCAAGATATATCCAAGGGAGGCTAAAGGTTCTTTTGCATAAAGCCGGCATTTCAAAGCAGTAGTTGAAAGCAGTAAAACAGTTGTAGTAATTAATCCATATTAACCAATCACTGTCCAACGTTACACCACGTTGCAACAGGCCCAAACCACCACCTGAACTAACCAGTTCCAAAAGCTAACTAGGGTGAAACTAATCACGGTGAATCTGGTCGACCGCCCATAACCGCGGGCACGGCTATTCGAATAGTTTTAGTCTGATCAGAGGTGTACAACTGTACCCACAAGACACAGCCCCACGGCACGTTCCCGTGCGCCAACATGCCACCACGACATACCGGAAAGAGGCCGTGACAGGACCCTTCGCATAACCCCCTCTAACCGATCGCACCACACCTTAGGGTTCGCCCCCGTCCCCAGCAGGCAACGGGCAGCCCCCCTTTCGTGCCGCGGTGAATCCGGAAGCCGATCAACCGGACACCCCGGCCGACCCAACTCCATCACGCCCACCCTCGCCTGGGTACGTCGGCTAGAGAAAAGCTACACTACAAGCCCAGCCGTTGCCCACGCTGGCTTGTGGTAAGTACGATAAGTTCTTCCAGGGCATCCCGCGAACCGGTCCTTAATCGCCATGGGCACGACTAGCAAAACCATGCACCCACAGCCCACCATGTAGTGTATTTTAATTAACCAACCCCATTGCGGTGGCACTATTCCAAAACTATTGCCAATAGTCAAAGTCTATGCTTTAATGTGATCCCCTTTTGTGCACTAGTTAAACTAAGCATGGCTAAGCATCTCCTAAACCAACATCTAGTCGTTTTAATACCCAAGTTATCAATGGCGTAAGGGAAACAACATATAGCTGAGTAATAGGACCAATCCCACATGATATTGTAAAACAATGCAATATTTAATAGAAATGCGGGATATTTGTAAATTGGGTACAATATGATCAATTGTATTGCATGACTTGCCTTGCTCTCGCACTGATGAGACCACAGCAACGTCTTCGAGAATCCGTGAATCGACGAAACGGCCGAAATCTACGCGACAAACAAAGCACACAAGCAAAACATGCTATAAGACTACTGAAACAGGAAGCAAAACCATTTTTAATGGATTCTATACATTTTTATGAATTTACTGAGACTTGAATGGACTTAATCGGAGCTCGGATGAATTAGTTATGATTTTTAGAATATTCTCTGTGTTTTTACTATAAAAGAAAAACCCTTAATCAATTTATTGCGCAATATTGCCCCAGGGCTGACGTCAGCAAGGGGTGGGGCGGCGCCGACATGCGGGCCCCACTGGTCAGCGGCACTAAGAGAGGGAGAGGGGGCGGCTGGCAGGCGGGACCCACCGGGCAGCGTCACATGGGGGGGAAAGCGGCGAGGCGCCCGGTCGGTCCGGCTCGGCTTCAAGCCGGCCGGCCGGTTATGGCGAGGGCGGCGGCGGCGAAGCTAACAACGGCGGCGGATTGGCTTGGCAGCGGCTCCAGCGGCGGCGAGCGGCGGCCGGAGGAGTGGAAAAGGCGGCGGCGGCGGGTATAGCGGCGCGGAAGCGATAGAGGGCACGGGAGGGAGCGGTGGAAAGAGGAAAAGGTGGAGGGGAGTGGAGGGATGGTTTATATGGGCTCGGGAGGGGTGGACGAGGCCGGAAAGGTGGCCGATTTGGCCCGCGACGTGGGGGAAGTGGAGGAGGAGAGAGAGAGAGTGGGGGAAATTTCAAATCCCCCGCCGTTTGCGGGCGCGCGAGCTGGCGGGAGGTGCGGGGAAGGTGGGCGGCGACGTGGGCATGCGGTACGGGCGGAGTGGGCGCGGGAAACGGGGAAACCGGTGGCGTCGGTGGCGGTTTCGGCGGCGGCGGTGCCGTCGGCTGGAGGAGGAAGAAGGGGCCGACAGGTGGGCCCCACCTGTCGGTGACCCGGAGAGAGGAGGGAGGGAGTGGGCCGGCCCAGCTGAGAGGAGGGCGAGCGCGCGGGAGGCGAACGGACTGGGCCGACGGCCCAAGAAGAGAGAAAAAAGGAGGAAAAAGAAAAAGAAGAAAGGATTTTCCAGGGATTTAATATTGCACTTTGCTTATTTTAATTGATTAAAATTATTTCCAAGGCTCTGAAAATTCCACTAAAAATCCTGTTAGTGAATTTTGACATGTAGAACTCAAGAAAAATTCCACATGCCAATTCCGATTATTATTTGCATTTATTAATTAGGGATTCATCTCTAGGTTAAATTAAACAATTTCTTCGGATGATTTATTTTATGAATTTAGAGCAAGGGAGGGGAACTTCAGGGCGTGACAGCCCCCTTCTTGCACATCGGCGGCGCCTCCTCCTCCTCGACGAGCACCTCCACCATGGCGCGCAGCGCGTTGCAGCGGCAGCGTGGTGCCACCTCCCTCAGCTAGTGGTAGCACCGCCCCCGCACCCAAACGCCGCCACTCGCCTCCTCGGCCGACGCTCACCACCCAGCCGCCGCTTGTGCCCGCCCCCTATGCCGCTCTGCCTCGCCACCACTGCCGCCTCGCATCCTCCGCCGTCACGCTCGCCTCGCCTTGCCTCCTCCGCCACCGCGCTCGCCTTGTCTCACCACTGCTTCGCATCCTCCGCCGCCGCCTCACCTCCTCCGCCACCGCGCTCGCCTCGCCTCACCGCTGCCTTCGCTGTCGCCCGTGATGGAGAGTGATGGAGAAGAGAGAGAGTGTGTGTGACAGAATGGGAAAGAGATAGAAGAGAGAGATAAACTGACAGGTGGGGTCCACCTACTTTTTTATAAAAAAATTGCTGGCTAGACTGCCACGTAGGATCAAATCCACCGCAGATTGAGCTTATTTGTCCGGTATGTAAAGTTGGGGGTTGAAGGAGATGTCCGGTTTTGTGGTTCTGGGGGGTAATTCGGTCGAACACAATAGTTCAGGGGGAGGTGGGGTAATTCATAGTTTTTCCTAAAAAAGACAAACTTAAGGGGGTGTTTGGATCCAAGGAATAAACTTTTGTCGCTGTCGTAGCGGATGTTATGACACTAATTTGGAGTATTAAGCATAGACTATTTATAAAACTAATTACATAAATGAAAGCTAATTCGCGTGACAAATTTTTTAAGCCTAATTAATCCATAATTAACATATGTTTACTGTAGCATCAGATAGGCTAATCATGGATTAATTAGGCTCAATCGATTCGTCTCGCGAATTAGTCCAAGGTTATGGAATGGGTTTTATCAATAGTCTATGTTTAATACTTCTAATTAGTGTCCAAACATCTGATGTGACAGGGACTAAAAAATATTTTTAGTCCCAACCAAACAGAGTCGTTTAAGGTTAATTCAGATTCGTGGTATTAAAATGTTTCGCATTCCATACTAGATTTGTTATGTATGAAAAAATCTAATAGGGTATTGCTGTTATTAGGTGATGATTGAAATGTGTAAGAGTGTGCCTATATATATATCTATATCTATATATACCAACTATCATCTCTATCTATCCAACAAGAGTACGAGGGTTCACCATCAATCTAGAGCTCCTTGTTAAAGTTGGAATAGCTAGCAATTACGCCATGGATGGAACGGACAAGGAGACGACCGTGGCGGCCGCCGGGACGAATGGGATGGAGGCGGCGCCAGCCATGGCAGCAGGCTCCGGCAGCTGTATCTGTACAGTGGTGGAGATCGACGTCGACGACGACGCCGAGGCGGCGGCGGCGGCGCCACGAAGAACACGGCCGAGGCCTTTCATCTATCGGGTGCCCAACCACATCAAGAACATGACGAACCCGGACGCATACCGGCCGCGGTTGGTGTCGCTGGGGCCCTTCCACCACGGCGAGGCCGAGCTGCAGCCCATGGAGAAGCACAAGCACCGCGCGGTGGCGCACCTGATCGAGCGTAGCGGGAAGCCGCTGCGAGAATTCATGGCTGCCGTCGAGGAGATCGCCGAGCAGCTGCGAGCCGCTTACGAGGACCTTGATGACGAGAGGTGGAGCGGAGAGGAGTTCGTGGAGCTGATGCTCACCGACGGCTGCTTCTTGCTGGAGGTGATGAGGGCGTTTCAGCTTCAGCGGGAAGGGAAGAAGGAGGTAGAAGAAGGGGGAGATTACGAGGCTGACGACCCTGTCTTCAGCGAGCACGGGTACCTATACCTGCGCTGCGATATCATCTCCGACGTGCTCCTGATGGAGAACCAGCTTCCCCTGCTCCTCCTCGACAAGCTCTGCCATGTTGCATACGCAGACAATCTTCAGGTATATGTACCCGGCCCCTATTCCACTGAATTCCGATTCGCACGCACAAGAAGCTTATGAGCTTTCAAAATTCTATGATTAATACAGTATGATGTAGCAAGTTCGTTTAATATTTCTACCATTTGAAACAGGAAAAAATATCTATTTATTTATAAGAAATCTTTAAAACCAAACACTAGCTATTCATCTTTCAATATTCAAACCATACAAAACCGAGTTGGTTTACTTGTACTGTCATTGACTTGTGCTGCCGACATGGCAATCGACACCCACGTATCTTCTACTCCATCCGTTTCTGGCCTTCAATCTCATAAGTTCAAGCATCATCCGCAACAATGTGAAATACTTATCGCAACCCTTTGCCTCATCGTACAAAAGATCCTTCATTGTCTTTCGTAATGCTTCGAAGTTCTCCAACCCATGAGCGGACCCAGCTACAAGCTCAAGTTCAGCATGACATAACATCTCTTCCAAATCAAAATTACCATCATGTACGCTGATATTACCATCATCGACATCATCAACTGTACTGTGCTGACCATCGTCGCTAACAACATCATCATCAGCGGGCTCTTCTTCTTCTTCTTCTTCTTCTTCTTCTTCTTCTTCTTCTTCTTCTTCTTCTTCTTCTTCTTCTTCTTCTTCTTCTTCTTCTTCTTCTGCTACGACCATGAAATCCTCGTCCCTACTGACCACTTCATCCCGTACTGTCACCTGGTTGGGAACTTGTTTGCTTGGGATCTCTCCATGATGTGACCAATTTGTGTAGCTTTCAATATATCTATACGTCACCAAGTGATGCTCGATTACACATGGATCAATCTAAATTTTCTTATTTTTGCAGTGTGCGCATGGACATCTAATTTCCTTCGTCTTCTTAGATGCAGCATTCTTTTTCGTAGCTTTCATGAATATGTTGACTCCTTCAATGTATGACGCACGATATCTCTCTATATATCCATGCTCTGTCCGCCATCTATCCATTAATTAATTACAAAAAAATAATACAGTTTATTTAGTTGAAATATTTTTAACAATATGTCACATTAAAATCCTACTAATTAATGTATATAACCAGTATAATCTAGACAAGATAATTAAAGCTAGCCAAAAATTTACATATATAACAAGGAAACAATATACAACTAGAAAAATTACCAAACTACCCCTCTTTCTTTTCTTCTTCATTCTTTGCAGTTAACTAATATATAGATTTGCTATGAATAAACCTATCAAAACTAGATATACATGTGGAATCATGCACAATATTTCTTACAAAGTTTGTCCATTTCGAGCTCCAAATAACAAATAAAATACACCTTTCTTCCTCCGTGTCACATGCTTTTTGTCATGCAAAATCTCAACGAACAACCAATGAAAATGAAAAAAAAAACTTGACAAATACTCCCTCCGTCCCAGACACCGTTGACTTTTTTAATCATGTTTGACCGTTCGTCTTATTCAAAAAATTTCAGTATTTTAATTTTTTTTCCTATCATTTGATTCATTGTTAAATATACTTTTATGTATACATATAGTTTTATATATTTCATAAAAAATTTTGAATAAGACGAACGGTCAAACTTGTTTAAAAAAGTCAACGGCGTCAGATATTTTGGGATGGAGGGAATAGAGTAGGAGAAAGTATAACTAACCTTTGGTGCAATATATCTTTCAAAAGATTCGAGATCAAAATATTTCCCCCCTATGTATGTGTTCATAAGAGACAGAAAAATCGTGCTCAAATGGATCCTGAAATTACTGTAGCTGATTGATATAGGTGATGGCATTTTTCCTGGTGGTCAACATATGTCGGTCGAGTTGCACCGCCATAGAAAATAACTAGGGGTGGCGGCGGCTTATGTGGGCCGCAAGCGAAGATGTAGGTATTTTTGCTGGCGGGCCACGTCACCATAACGCCAGCGAAGATATTGTATTTTCACTGGCATCAAGTTAAGAAGGCCGCCAGAGAAATTACATTGTCTTTGCTTGCGGCCAACTTAAGTCGGCCGCCAGCGAAGATGGGTTTTTGCTGACAGCCCGTGACCCACCACCCCCCTTATTTCTTGTGCTGGTAATTTCATCTTGTAGCCGCCATGAAATTTTTTTTCCAAACGCCATGAAAAATCGTTTTTTAGTAGTGTGAGCTACCGCCACGGTATCCCCTTCGGCCGCTGGGTCGCCACCGCCAGATCTGGCGGAGGGGAGTGCGCCACCGCTGGGCCATCGGACCACCGCCGTCTCCCCTCAAGCCGCCGACCCACCGCCACCGCATCCCCTTCGCCGTCGGGCCACCGACGCCACCTCCCCTCCCGCCATATTTGGCGGACGGGTGGGCGCCGCCGCCGGGCCGTCGGACCACCACCGCCTCCCCTCACGCCGCCGTCCCGCAGCCGCCACATGCCGATTCGGTGGAGGGAGAGAGAGAGAGCCGAACGAGGTGGAGAAAGAGAGAGCTGAGAGAGAGAGATAGAGAGGGAATGAATAAGGAGAGGTGAGGGGAGGAGAGGATAAGATCGATGTGGAGGTCGGTTCGGCTCGATTTATGTGGGTGTCGGTTTTTTATTAACCGACACCTATAATATATTAAAGGTATCAGTTTTTATAAAAAACTGGCACATATAGAATAGGTGTCGGTTCTTATTTAGAACCGGCACCTATAATTGTTTAAAGATGTCGGTTTTCTACAATTTCAACCCAGAGAGGTGGGGAAAAGGCCTATATGTGCCGATTTTAGCACTTCTGGCACCTATAGTGGTGACATCTATTTGATGTTTTGTAGTAGTGACACGATCAAAAGTAACCTCAAATTCGCTGGTGCCCTATGGATATAGCTGCCTACACAGAGAAATACAAGATCCGATTATAGATGGCCATTCGGCCCGCCCAGCACGGTCCAGCCCAGGCACGGGCTAGGCATGGCCCAAGAAGAATCGGGCCGGCATGGCACGGTCAGTTCTTCGTGCTGTCCCATGCCAGCTCACGTGCTACACCTCAGGCCCAGGCACGTCCCACCAGCAGTCGGGCAGGTCCTTGCCGGCTAGAAGGCACTGGTGGCCCATCGTGCCTTATTTGAAATATGTCTATTTCCCCTCCCTCCTCTTTGGGCTGTGACATATATATAACTAGGAATAAGTTCACTTTGGGTCCCTCTATTTGTCGCCCAGTCCGATTTTTGTCCCTTGGTCGCAAAACCAGATACAATTCATCCCTCAACTTACAAAACCGTGCAGAAAAGGTTCCTCGGCAGTATTGTGCCCAGTTTTGAATAACGTGGCACCTACGTGGCTCCCTTTGACTAGGTCCTCGTCCCACGTGGCATTCACGTGGCAATTGGATCCTAGGAAAATAATAAAAAACCGTGGAACCCACATGTCAGCTACACAAAAATAATAGAAAAAAGGTAGGACCCATGTGGTCCCAAATGTCAGCCTCCCTCTTCTTACTATCCCTCCCTCTCTCTCTCATCTACACGGTAAGGAGAAGGGCGAGCGGCAGCGGGGCGGAGGGCGGACCAGAGGGGTGGCGGGCGGAAGCGGAACGGCGGCGGGCGGCGTGGCAAGAGCGCTGCGAGGGAGGAGGCTTCTTCTTCTTCCACCTCTCTCTAGGCATCTCCGGCAGTCGGTGATACAGCGGCAGCGACGGGCGGCGACTCGACGGCGGCAGCGGGAGCGCTGGGCAGGGCGGGGGGGGAGTCGGCAGGGCACGGGTGACGATGAGACAATGGCCATCGCCGGCGGCGCGGCGCGTGGCCCGGGCATGCAGCAATGGCGGTGACGCGACCCCGGAAGAAGGGGAGCACGGATCTGGCGGTGCGCTGCTGCGGCGGCGACAGGCGTCGGCTATGAATCCGCAAGCTTCCCTTCCCTTCTTGCCGGCGGACATCCACCTCCACTTACCGCCCAGGTCGTTCACGCTTCAATTTGCTGCCTCAACTGGATTTGTTTAGCTTACATATCTGGTTCTTTCGTTATGGGCTGAAGTGATCAATTGATGGTTTTGCCCACGCTGACATGAGTATGGTCCTCTTTTGGTGCCTGACAAAATTTGATCTCTACCATTTGCAGCCCTGGAGTGGCTCACGAGCAGCCCAAACACCATGCATTCCAACGCCAGCCATCAATCCTCGTCGCGCGCGGTAAGGCACGTGCGAAGCAGGACTAGGAGAAGAGAGGAAGATGCATGAGGGAGGTAGCTCACGAGGTTCCCGGCGCGGACGGTGCAGAACCCGTTGGAGACGTCGACAAGGACGAGCCCCACCTACCCCCGCTCGCCGCCGCCGGTAGCCAGGACGAGGTCGGTGTCCGGCTGTAGGGGCACCGCCGCCCGGAGCACTCCCCTCGTGTCGACGGCGCTGCTGGCGTCGGACCCCATTGCGCGGCGCACGAGTGGCTGGAGGCTGGTCTTCGGGTTGACCTCGAGCTCTCGCCGCCGGTGTCTCGCTCGCTGCCCCGTCCTGCCCGTCGCCCGCTTCTGCCGGCCGCCGCTCGCCCCGCTCCATCGGCCGGAGAGAGAAGGGATAGAGAGAAGAGGGGAGAGAGAGGGTAGAGAGAAGAGGGAAGACTGAGGATGACATGCGGGGCGGGAAGACTGAGGATGACATGCGGGGCCCACGTTGGTCCCACCTTTTTTTATTATTTTGTGTGTGAAACTAACATGTGGGTCCCATGGGTTTTATTATTTTTTCGGATCAAATTGCCACGTAAGCGCCACATCAGTGCCATGTCAGATGAAGACCGAGTCAAATTAGCCACGTAGGTGCCACGTCAGCCAAAACCACTATCAGAACGGCCGAGGGACCTCGTTTGCCCGGTTTTTGTAAGTTGGGGGACGGGTCGTACCCGGTTTTGTGGTTCATGGACGAAAATCAGACTGGACAACAAATAGAGGGACCTAAAGTGAACTTATTCCATATAACTAAAGTAAGTCTATTTTATGTCCCTCTTCTTTTGGTCGTGCCATATAATACGTCTATTTTGCTCCCTATTCTTTGTGTCGTG